TGTTGAGTTGTTGTTGTTGAAATTGTTGTTGTTGTTGAAGTTGCTGTTGTTGTTGAAATTGTTGTTGTTGATTTCGTAGTTTCAATAAACTTCGAGGAGCATAAACAGAATTTTTAGCTGTTATTTATTGCGGATTGGAATGATGATTGTGCTGTTTTACTACTTGTTGTCGTTGTTGTTGTCGTTGTTGTTGTTGATAATGTTGTTTCTTTTAATGTTGATGTTATTCATCAAATCGATGTTTTCACGACAATTTGTTGCTTTAAAATTATTTTCAATCTCGTGTTCTGTCATTAGAGTCCTTTATTTCTCTAAGAATTATTTTTCTACATGCCTTGATGGTTTTTTTGTTTATGCTTATGTTTTTTTTGTTTGTTTATGTTTTTGTTGTCTGTGTTAGTGTCTTTTATTGTTTCGGTCTATGGTTTTGTTTTTTGTGTTGATGCCTTATTTCTGTTTTGTATTTATGTTGCCCATATTGTTGTCGTTGTCGTTGTTGGTGTTAAGTAGTTGTTTGTGTTAATGTAATTTTTATTTTTGTTGATTATGTTGATGTATTTTTTGTTGAGGCATTTTATGTTTACGTTCCTGTTAATGTTGTTGTTTAGGTTGTTGTTTGTTGGTTTGTGTCGTAGTTTTTGTGTTATTGTTGGGGTCTGTGTATGTATTTTCGGTGTATAAGTTTTATTGTTGTTGAGATTTATAGTTCATAACGATGTTGTTGATGTTGCTTATTTAATGCTGTTTGTGTGTTTAGAATTTGTGTTTTGGTTGTTGTTTATTCATTCTTTGAGTTGACTATTTTTCTATTATTAACAACCAAACCAATTTTTTTCACATTCCATTATTTTTATTTGTCATATGTTTATTTTTATTTACTACATATTAATAACTTAATAGTATAAATAATAATAATAACAACAATAGCAGTCATCATCACCCTCATCATCACCATCACCACCATCGTCATCATCACCACCACCATCATCATCATCACCACCACCATCATCATCATCCCACCACCATCATCATCATCGTCGTCATGAATTTTTAAGTAAATATTTTTGGTAATTTTAACATTTATCCTAATTTTGAATAAAGGCAATTATGTGGCAATTACGATAATTTAGCAACATTGAGAGAAAGAGGGAGAGAGAGAGAGAGAGAGAGAGAAAGAGGAAAAGAAAAAAAGAGAGAGAAAAAAGAGAGTTAATTATAAGAAACATGGCTGCTTTGAAAAGAGAGAGAAAGAGAGGGAGAGAGAGGGAAAGAGAGGGAGAGAGACGGAGAAAGAGAGAGAGAGAGACGGAGAAAGAGAGAGAGAGAGAGAGTTAATTATAAGAAAGAAAGTTGTTTTGAAGAGAAAGATAAAGTACTCTTCTGAATATGTATATGGTTAGTAGTAAGTATACCCGAGGTAGTAGTAAAAGGATTGGCAGTAGTTGTGGTAGTAACATTAAAATATATTTGGTAGTGGTAGTATATTATTGAAATATAATTGGCATGATGAATATGCAACGCGTAGTTGTCTCGTTAGTTTATATATGTATCTGCACTTGTGTGCGTGAATGTATGCGTGTGTGTGTATGCGTGAATGTATGCAAGTGTGTAAACACTGCTTGTTTGCGTGTGTGATACCATGTTAGCGTTTATGCCCGTCTTAGTTTCAGTTTTTGTTGTTTATGTTTATGTTGAGGTTTAGGTTATTTCCGATATTTTTTGTTGGCGATGTTTTCGTCACTGTGTGCATTAACTGTGTACGTGACAGTCACATGGACGGGATCACGTGCACGTGGTTGTGTGTGCACGCGTGACTGTGTGCACGTGATGACGTCAGAGAATGTCGATGATGGAGTGGCTTGATGGATGCAGGAGTTGTTTACGTCATGTTTTGTCGTTCCCAGTGTAAAAAATGAAGACAACCAAAATGAGAGTGGTGGTGCTGACGATGATGATGATGACGACGAAGATTATGGTGGTGATGACTATGGTGATGATAATGATGGTGGTGGTTTTAATGGTGATGATGATAACGATGATCATATTATTATTATGATGTGATGATGGTTATGATGACACTAATGTTTGAGAGAATGATGACGATAAAGATGATGAAGATGAACGAAAATTCAAAAATAAATGAAAAAATACGGTGAAGATTGAGTTAACAACATGAATGGATGGAAGACTGATGATGATGAGGATGATGATGTGGATGATGATGATGATAATGATGATGATGATGAAAGGAAGGGGAAAATGTTGACGAGGATGAAAAGATGATGACGATGACGACGATGACGATGAAGATTTTTTCAAGGCTCAGAAAGTTTAATTTAATTAATCTGAGAACTTTTGAACCCGGACACTGATGATGATGTCGATGGTGGTAATGATGATGATGGCGATGATGATGTTGGTGGTGATGTTGATGATGATGAAAAGAAGAATGACGTTGGTGACGACCCATTTTATTTTGTTTTTGGTTATGTGAGAAAAAAAAAGTGATTAATTGGATTATGTTTTTTAGCTGGTGTCAAAATTCAAAATTACGTGGTTGTTATTTTTTATTATTATTATTATTTATAATAATAATAATAATAATAATAATATTATTATTATTATTATTATTATTATTGCGTCACATTATAATAAATTTTAAACTAGGTTTTTTTACAAAACTCATTTCATAGTGGCGAACACTCTCTTAATTTACATGCGAACATATTTCCTTTTTCTTCCCACAATGTTCACCATTCTGTTCGCCTCTGGGTGAACATCGCATGTTCATCTGTCTTTTAGTTAACGTTGCATGTTCACTGTTTTTGCTTGTTCACCTGTTCACCTTTCCTGTTTGTAACACACGACGAACATCTTCATATTGGAAAGCAGTCAAGAAACGAATTTTTTGGACATCCATGCATTTCTGCAATTTTGGCTAGTAACTCTTGGAAAAATTTTTAAAAAAATTAATTTGTAGTACTAGTAGTTGTTGTAGCAGTAGAAGCTGTAGTAGTAATAATAAAGGTAGTAGTAGTAGTAGTAGTAGTAGGAAAAGTAGTAGTGGTAGTAGTATTAGTAGTAAAGTAGTTGTAGTAACAGTAGTAGTAGTAGTAGTAGTAGTTGTGGTTGTTGCAGTAAAAATGGTAGTAGTGGTCTTAGTTCGTGATGAAAAAATGTGAAAAATTTTTATTTTATCTACGATA